GGTGGGGTGGTGGGGTGGGGTGGGGTGGGGTGGGGTGGGGTGGGGTGGGGTGGGGTGGGGTGGGGGGATAAACTATCCGTGCAACGCGCGGAAGTGTTGAAAGCGTTCTGCAAAGGAACTGTAAACAAAGTGCAACTGAATGGGGTTCAGGGAAGACAGACGTGTAAATGCAGCGTAAATAAACTGTAAATAACATGTACACAAAGTGCACACTAGTCACTGCTCACCTGTCACGAATCACAACAGATCCAGACGTTGCGCTGGTGCTTGGTCTTTCACTGCGGAGCTACACACGCCAAAGACGAAGATCTTGTGGGATGCTTGACTATCGCGGTATTGGGTGCGCCGGGGCCGGGGTCGGAGCGAGGCCCCCGATAGCGCGGGCGTGCTTGCACACATCATCGGAAGCTTTCACTTTCTCTACACTCTTTTCACACTCTTTCACACTTTCGTCGAGAGGGCTCCGAAGCTACTTTACACTTCTTTAACACTTCTGATACCCTTTGCTACACTTTTTCCACACTTTGTTCGCACATGTTTAAAAGGCTTTTGGAGGGCCCGTGGGGCCAGGCCATTCGCATTTGTTTAACATTCTCTTTGCACTTGGTTCACACTGTTTTTGCACTTTTCCTATGGAAAACACAACATTTTTTCCGAAAATCCAGCTGTACCTGGAAAAATGCAGAAAGTGTAAAAACAAAACGCGCTTCACACTTGTTTTACACTATCATCTTTGCCCTTTTCCTAAGGAAAACCATATGTTTTCCGGCGGGCCCAGTGTTTCCTGGCAACGTGCAAGGCAAGTGTGAAAAAAGTGTACATTTAGTGTCTGCAGCAAGAACTCCTGGGGATGGCTTTGAGAGGGGAAAAGTGAAAAAGTGTGCAAAAAGTGTGCATGGGAGTGAGGCTGTGGGGCGGTGGGGTGGGATTTGCCGCTAGGGGGTCTGGGGGAGAGGTAAAGGAGAGCTTGGATACCGGGGAGCGCAATTGAGACACAACGCTCATATCGCTGAAACCCCGACGTATATATTCCTCCTCTTTTTCTAGTTACTAGACTTATATACGAATGCTACATTTTGGGTATCTTAAAATAACACACTATTTATACAATATTTGCAATTTTTTACATTTCCATTTCACACTTCTGCCAGCTACCCTTACAAAGTATTTGCGCTTATTTTACGCTTCTGTTACACTTATTTACACTTCTCCCTACACTCCACTCCGTACACTTCTTTCACACCTCATCTACACATTTAATGATTTGAGAGAACCAGGGCACCTTAAAAATACTATACTAGACTGGCCAAGGAACACACGCTTGCCTTGACGTTCTCGATGGCATCCATCATTTGTACCAACTTCTGCCCGACATCATCAACCTTCTCAACGGCTCCAGAGACTCGTCCAAGATGCCGCGGAAATGCTCGTATTCTGTTTTGAACTTTTTGAAGACAACCTCCACCTCCTTGGCAGCTACTTGGCCAATTGTGTCTTGTACGCTCTGCAAGGTCGCTGATGCCTCCGTAAGCTTCTTCATTGAGTCCTCCGTGTTTTTGATGAAGCGTGCGGCACGGTCCTCGTGAGACTGAACCACTTCCTTCATTTTCTCTCGGGAATCTCTCTCCATCTTTTCGTTTCTTCTCTGTATATCCTCCTTCAAATATTGCACCTCCTGCTCGTGGGCTTCATGGTGCTTTTTGAGGCTGTCCTGGATCTTCTGCACAGTGGAAGCGAATCTTTGGCTTGAATCATCGATCCGCTCCTTGGCATCAGACAAATCTCGGCCGCATTTCTCCGCAATCACACTGCCCTCGTCTCGAATTACCTGGCGGAGCGTCTCGGAATGGTTCTTGAAGCTGCCGTCCGTGTCCTCCAAGCGCCTCTGGACTCTGCTCGCTTCCTCTGAAAACACCTTCAAGATCTTCAGGCCCTCTTGGATGCCAGGGTCTAGCTGTTCCTTATAGGCCTTTACAAAGGATTGCATCTCTGCAGTGCTTTGATTAACCGTGTCAGCCATTTTCGTCGCGAAGCCATCAATGCTTGGACCAACTTTTCCCATCTGTTCCTTGACGCTCGTCAAAAGTCTCTGCGGATCGGCCTTCTTCAGCTCATCGAGAAGCGCTGAAAACACTGCAACTTTATCGACCGCATCATCTACAGACAGTTTCTCTAATGATTTTTGGTACCCATTGACGTGGCTTACAAGGACTGTGGCTTTGTTTGATATCTCCTGGCTTTTTCTTTCAGTCTCCACCATGCTCTTCTGGAGCGACTCCTCTGCTGCCACGATCCTCCCCAGACTGTCTTTGGACGACTTCAAATGATGTTCAACATCTTTGGTCAAAGACGTCAAGCTTGTGAAGGACGAATCACGCAGCTCCCGGACGTTCGCCGCCACCTCATCCGTGCCGCTCACGCTGAGAACGCCTAGAACCCCTGTTTCTTCACATGGATATACAGTACATACATGACCTTTGCCGGGACTTATTTTGGGTTAGGGCGCCCGCCTGATCCATTCGCAGATCCTTGAAAGTCTTGAGTTTCTCGGAGAAGAACTTCCAAACTCCATCCAGCTCCTTGTGCACACTTTCGCAAAGACCAGCGTCTCCAGAATTGTGCCGCATTCCTGCATGCTCTTGAGCATCTCTTCGCCTTTTAAGGTGATGTCATGGAACTTCGGGTTTGTGAAGTGTTTCCTGACTTTGAGCACCTCTTCGATAGCAGGAGGCATCCTGCTCAAACAATCCTCAAACTTAGCATGCGCCTCCTCGCTTTTCCTTTCAAGTTGCCCGATGGCATCGGAGGCTCTGCTGACCTGCTGGGTCAAAGCATCCGACCTTGTGCTCAGCGACTCCATGTGCTTGAGAACCGCCTTCATGCGATCATCCAAGAGCCTTAGTAGGATCAAGCGAAGTTACAGTAAGATACAATAGTAACAATGACAATAATATGACGACCATTGCTCATACTAGTGTTAATGGTCTTACTGTTGTCGGAAATGTCACTATTGTCTAAGAGTGTTCTTATCGCAATTATTATTGTTATCATCATCATCGCCATCATCACCATCACCATCATCACCATCAGTTAGTACATGAAAAAGAGACACTAAGAATGGAATGCCGACCAACAACAAAAACTCGCATCTCATCCTTCGAAAAGAACTCGCGTGTAATATAGCGGCCTCAATCACAGAGTTTTGGGGCCCGTTATGCTAAAACCATAATAAGGAACCCCCAAAATAGTGTCGGTAATTATTACGCCCCCACATTAGCTGCTGGTGCCAGAACGAGGCACGTGCAAGTCGCGGTATCCTGGAAAGCAAAGCTCTGCGCACTCCGGGAACCTGTGAGCTTGCATGAGAATGTAGACTTTATATTAGGGGTTTAGGGTTTAGGGTTTAGGGTTTAGGGTTTAGGGTTTAGGGTTTAGGGTTTGGGGTTTAGGGTTTGGGGTTTGGGGTTTTTAGGACTCAGGGTTCTGAACCCTAAACCTGAAGCTGTCAGGATTGCTGGCTAGATTTCAGGCTCCTATGTTGAGCTTTGGGGTTTGGGTCTACGACTTCTGGGGCTCTGCAGCTTCGGGCTTGGAGCTTTGACAGGCATTTTTTTGGACTGCTAAAGCAGACGCATACCATAGGACACACTACAGTATACTATGGGCTGTAACATACTATAGTCTGCTAGCGTATACTTTGCTATTGTATAACTATAGCATACTATGCTATGTTGTTGTCCGGCAGCACTTCTGTGCAGATGCCCTGCAGTCTAAGGACTACGGCCTCTGTATCTGATCTGACGGACCGTTCTGTGATCCTAAACCCTAACCCTAAACCCTAAACCCTAAACCCTAAACCCTAAACCCTGAACCCTAAACCCTAAACCCTAAGCCCTAAACCCACCCTATCGCAGCTCCGAAGCCTTGAGACGCCATGGTCTTGCTCAGCAGCTCGTGAGTGCCTTTAATTCATCAGCAACCGCAGCAGCAAAAACAGCAACAGGGGGGTTTAGGGTTCAGGGTGTAGGGTTTAGGGTTTAGGGTTTAGGGTTTAGGGTTTAGGGCTTAGGGCCACAACAATAAAAAGCAAACATGCGGCAGCATCAAACGGCGAGCTCTCGACAACCCTCTTCTACCGCCTACACTTGCAAGAGGCCATGAGACTGGAAACATGGTGCATCATGACACCAACTGAGGTACCTAAATTGGACGACAGACGCTGCAGGCTTCCATGCTGTTGAAGCATGAGATTGTCCTACTTGTCAGTAAGAATGCTGTCACGGCAACCAGCAGGCAAGCAGACCAGCAACAGCTAGCTAATGCAGACAGTTGCTAGTGCAGATTGCCAAGATTTGGTGCGGAATGTCCGCGGATCCTTGCCGAACAAAGTGCAGTTCCTAAACCCGGGGTCCTAAGATTTTGTGATAGCTCAGAAACACCGTAGGGCCTGAACGGTAGTATGTTTTAACCACTGGTTCCCCTAAACCCCTAAACCCCTAAACCCTAAACCCTAAACCCTAAACCCTAAACCCTAAACCCTCGTCCTGAGTTGGCCTTCAGCATCTCTGGAATCCTGCGGAGCTCTTCAGCCATGACCTGCCAGGTAGGCTTTGTGCGTCTTGGGGCTCAAGGTCTGTACGGGTTTAGGGTTTAGGGTTTAGGGTTTAGGGTTTAGGGGCCATAAAGGCATAACACAGGGGCCTCAATAGTTAGAATAGGGTTTCGGGGTTCCTCACTATAGTTGTAGTATAATAAACCCCCGAAACCCTATTCTGATTATCAAGACCCCTATGTCATAAGGGCTACAACAGTGATTAGGGTTGAGGGTGCAGTTCCAGGCTCAATTGTGGTCTGTTTTTTGTCTGATTTCCAAGAGTTCCGGGGCCTAGGTCTGAGGGGTTTCCAAAAAATTCGAAGGCTAAGTTGCACGGTTTGGGGTGTAGGGTTTACGGTGGAAGCCAGTAAAGCGCGTGGAATCCCAGCACTAGTCATCCGTAAACCCATGTTCCGACTATCTGGGGTTCACTATAACTCCCAAATTCCCTACAGTAGAACCTGCTAAGGGAGCCTTCAAAGAACCCTCCACGGTAAATCCATAAACCCGGAACCCTAAATCCTAAACCCTACACCCTAAACCCTGAACCCTAAACCCTAAACCCTGAACCCTGAACCCTGAACCCTAAACCCTGAACCCTGAACCCCAAACCCGGTTCAGGGGGCATGCTGCATGGTTCAGGACCGAGAAGATGCCGGGATGTAAGTGCGGGGCTTCGGGTTTTTCATGCAGGGGCCTCAATGATTACCAATACTATTTTGAAGTTTCCTCATCATAATAATAGTATAATGGACTATGTTGGTGGTTCCTCATAATAATAACAATAATAATAACAATAATAATAACATTAATAGTAATAATAGTAATAATAATCATAA